ATGTATATGTGTATATGTATATGTATATGTATAAAATATGTATCTGTGCACATAGATATTAGTGCATATAAGTTGTATTGTTTTTGCAGTTGTCAGATACAAAAATGTTATTATTTCAACAAGTGCGTTCATCAGTCATGTGCTAAGAAGTTTCAATTTAACTTGTTAGATATGTTTCTGATTATTATAATTATATATGCAGACACCTTAATTAATTAATGAGATGTCAAAACATCTCCTTAAAATATAACTAATTAGCTGTGATCTCGTGAATAATCTGTACATTGATGTTAGTTGTAATTGTGCCAGTCCTACATTCATATAGTTTTTTTCACTGCTTGAGGAGAAATGTATACTGTAAAATGTATGCTGAATGCTGAATGCTGTAAAATGTTATAAGTAAATTGATTAATAAACTTTTATATGTGAAAAACACTGCCGTTCTATCAATACACTTAGGTTCAGCTAAAGAAGAAATATATGGGTGCGGTTTGGAGCAAATTAGTATTTACCTTCCTAAACCGAGAAGTGCTAAAACATTTATGTGATTAGAGCGGGCCGGAGTAGTATTTAATGAAATCACATGTAAACAGTTGTCCCCCTGGCGGCGTATATGCATTATATCAGGAGTCGATTAATTATAATAATTATTGATAGACTCCTGATTATATCAATTAAATTATCATAAATTAAGAATTCGCACCACTTTTAAACCATAACAGTAACAGATTATTTATTATTTTTTTATCCATTACAAATCAGCTGTTGGATTCGTAAATTCATGTGAATTGTATGTATGTATTCTAGCCCGACCAGGCTGTGCGACGGATTGCTAGGTATTCTAACCCTAGCAATACCGTTTCTTGGAGCTAGTATGTATTCATGTGTGCGTGCGTGCCTGTGTGCGTGCGTGCGTGTCATCGTATGTGTGTATGCGAATTAATTTTGTATATATGTGTGTATGACACCCACACATGCACGCACGCACACATGAATACTTAAAAACGTATACAAATTCACATACATGCACGCATATACGATAGCACGCACGCGCGCTATATATGTATATATGCATGTATAGGAATTCGTATATGCGTACACAGATATACGAATTCCTATACATAATTATATACACACATACGATAGCACGCGCGCGCACGCACGCACACGCATTCACGCACGCACGCATCAATACATATTATATACACGTCCGTGCTATCGTATATGCGTGTATGTGAATTTGTATACGTTTCTAAGTATTCATGTGTGCGTGCGTGCATGTGTGGGTGTCATACACACATATATACAAAATTAATTCACATACACACATACGATGGCACGCACACACGCACGCATGCACACATGAATACTTAGAAACGTATACAAATTCACATACACGCACGCATATACGATAGCACGGACGGGTATATAATATGTATTGATGCGTGCGTGCGTGAATGCGTGTGCGTGCGTGCGCGCGCGTGCTATAGTATGTGTGTATATAATTATGTATATAGGAATTCGTATATATGAGTATATGTATATATCCACATAGGATAGCACGCACGTGTATGTATTGATGCGTGCGTGCGTGAATGCGTGTGCGTGCGTGCGCGCGCGTGCTATAGTATGTGTGTATATAATTATGTATATAGGAATTCGTATATATGTGTATATGTATATATCCACATAGGATAGCACGCACGTGTATGTATTGATGCGTGCGTGCGTGAATGCGTGTGCGTGCGTGCGCGCGCGTGCTATAGTATGTGTGTATATAATTATGTATATATAATAGGAATTCGTATATCTGTCTACGCACGAATTCTTATACATGCATATATACATATATAGCGCGCGTGCGTGTGTGCGTGCGTGCTATCGTATATGCGTGTATGTGAATTGTTATACGTTTCTAAGTATTCATGTGTGCGTGCGTGCATGTGTGGGTGTCATACACACATATATACAAAATTAATTCACATACACACATACGATGGCACGCACACACGCACGCATGCACACATGAATACTTAGAAACGTATGCAAATTCACATACACGCATATACGATAGCACG